GTCAGCGATTTGTTATATTTCAACACTCACCGAGAGCAGCAGCACCATCATCACCAATTTTATTATAACGTTTTCAGCGATTTCTTATATAATTTCAAACACTCACCCAGAGCAGTAGCACCATCATCGCCAATTATATAACGTTTCAAATGCAACAATGTCAGTGATTTGTTATATTTCAAATACTCACCCAGAGCAGCAGCACCATCATCCTCAATTTTACTTTAACTCAAATCCAACGTTGTCAGCGATTTGTTATATTTCAAACACTCAACCAGAGCAGCAGCACCTCAAATCCAACGTTGTCAGCGATTTGTTATATTTCAAACACTCACCCAGAGCAGCAGCACCATCATCACCAATTTCAGCAAGTTTCAAATTCAACGTTGTCAGCGATTTGTTATATTTCAAACACTCACCCAGAGCAGCAGCACCATCATCACTAATTTTACTATAAGTCAAATCCAACATTGTCAGCGATTTGTTATATTTCAAACACTCACCCAGAGCAGCAGCACCATCATTACGAATGTCATTATTACTCAAATCCAACGTTGTCAGCGATTTGTTATATTTCAAACACTCACCCAGAGCAGCAGCACCATCATCACCAATTATAGCAAGTTTCAAATTCAACGTTGTCAGCGATTTGTTATATTTCAAACACTCACCCAGAGCAGCAGCACCATCAGCACCAATTATAGCAAGTTTCAAATCCAACGTTGTCAGCGATTTGTTATATTTCAAACACTCACCCAGAGCAGCAGCACCATCACCACGAATTTCATTATCACTCAAATCCAACGTTGTCAGCGATTTGTTATATTTCAAACACTCACCCAGAGCAGCAGCACCATCATCACGAATGTCATTACCATTGTCAGCGATTTGTTATATTTCAAACACTCACCCAAATCCAACGTTAACTCAAATGCGATTTGTTATATTTCAAACACTCACCCAGAGCAGCAGCACCATCAATACCAATTCCATAAACACACAAGATCAACGTTTCCAGCGATGCATTATATTTCAAACACTCTGCAAGAGGGGCAACCCCATCTTGCGAAAGTGTATTCAATGTTAATTTTGTCACAGTTGTATTTGTTTTCAGAAAGTTGCTTAAAAAGACAGCTAGAGTTTCATCCACTTTTACACTTGAAACTTTAACAGTTTCAGTTTGAAGAGAAGCGCCAAGAGCGGTAGCCAATTTTTCATCAACATTTTTGTTCTTCTTTTTGCATTCATTAACACACTCTAATATAACGTCCACGTCTTCCTCTTCTTCCTGGTTTAACTGTGTTGCTATGCTTTTCAGAAGGTTCACCACTGTTTCCTCGCATCGTGCTGCTAGCATACCAAATGTAAACAGAAGCACTTCTTTCAGTTGATGGCGATATTTTTTGCCAGCAGCTATGCTGTTTGTACTGATTTCTTTCTTGATAAGCTGACAACTGAGATAGAAGGCTGCGAAGAATTCTTGGAAAGTCTTGTGAAGAAAGCTATAACGTCTAGTTGGTCTTAGTTTACTGCCTCCAGGCTGAACTGACAGAAATCCAAATCCAGGTAAATCGCTTGCTTTGTGTTTTCCAAGCTCCTTCTCGTCAAAATCCAAGTTGTCTTCAAGTAAACCTTTCAAAGCTATCGAACCAAGGTGTTTCAATTGGCTTTCGTAAAGGTCAACAAGGTCTTCACCGTTTTCTGGTAGTTGCTGCTTTGTTCTGTACCTTCTTAGTACACACTCCACTATTTCCATGTACAGCTTCGTTCTGCTTTCAGGAAATACACCTTTCAAATCTTCATAGACCAGGCAAAGAAGCGCAGTGTTGAGAGGATTCGTCAATACTTCATATAACTTGCGATCAATATACAGGTGTGCGATAAGCTGCTTGGCCAAGTTTGGTTCGGCTTTGAAGTACTTTCTGATGAAGGATTGTACATCTTCTTTAGTAAATCCCTTAACTTCTAACAGCGTGTCGCAGTATTTTCGAACTTTGACTCCAGCTTCGTGTCGTGCCGTAGCAACCACGCGACAGTTTGGCAGTACTCGCCCTTGAATAATTTCTGAAAACATAGGTAGCTTCTTCTCAGAAACTTCATCCAATCCATCGAGTACCAGAAGAACATTAGATTGATTGTGGCGAATGAAGTCGAAGAATCTCTCACGTTGGTCTTCACCAACTTCTCGAGGCAGAAGTTGATCTTCAATGGCCTCCCAAAGGCCAGACTGAACATCACGACATTTGATCAAAAGCACTATTACGATGTTTGCGAAGCAATTTCCGGTTGCGTGTTTTCCTGAGGCCCAGTCGAAAACAACTTTTTTACAGTAAGTGGTCTTTCCCATACCAGGCTTCCTTCAATTAACACACTCTTGGTTCTTCACATTCTTCGTGCTGGTTGAAGATTTCAGACATCGTGACAACTCGGTCTGTTGCTGTTCCTTTCGTTTTCTTTCTGTAGATGACTTTAAGTCTGGTGTAGATGTCGTCAAAGGAGAAGTGAAAATCTTCACACCAGGGAAACGGTGCCAGCCAACCTTCCCGATTTTTGTAGAGTTTACGAATATTATCAATAATTACAGTTGGGTCAAATCCATCTGAAAAAGAATTAGTTGTTAGTTTTATGAGGCATTCTTACCGACACGCTATATGACGCCATGACTCTCGGAAAAATAAGCAATTATACGATGACACTGAGAATGACATCGTGAAATATCACCACTTAGGTCTGAGTTATCTGACGAAGCCGAAGGCTGAAGCAGATATTATTGACACGAAGTTTGATAATTCATAATAACATGAAAAAAAAAACCGGAATCAAACAGATATTTTTTTCATTTTGAAAACACTTGAAAAATAAAACATTCCTCTCTGAGGGTGCAAAATTTTGAGAACACTACACGGTCGAGGGGCTTGGAAACTAGGCAGACTCTGAACTCGACATGATCAATATCCGCTGCATTTAATGGATTATCAAGTCAATCTCTTACGCTATTGTGTATCAATTAAGTGGTGATCTCTGTAAGAGTGGTCCAAGGCCTTTCACATCAGAGAAAAGTTTTGCCTCAAACTTTGCCCATTAAATTATCTTTGGTAGTAAGTAAATAAAACCACGTCGGTTTCTGGAAATACGTTCAAAAATTTTTTTGAGAGCTCTCAATAGTCAGAGCTGCAAAAAGCCCTTTTTTGACTTCTTGCGACATCAAGAATTTCAAAAGTTGACAAGCTTGCTCCTCGTAACACACCACATGCAGCAAGAAATCGTTTGTGTTCCTAAATTTTGTGATATATAAGGGGTTAAGAAGGCATTCAATTTTGATATGTGTTCAGTCAGAGGTTAGCCATAATTTATTTTAAAACACTCGTTAGCCGATTTTTTTTAAATTGGTCAAAAGTACTCTTTCTTTCTTGGGTGATATTTCTCAAGTCCAGACCAGACCATAGAAAACTGCGGTGGATTTCTTCTAATAAGATGTTCGAAATTATAGAAATGTAACAACATCTTTCACTTATTCATTTTCTCCGTCTTAGTGACTTCAAACTTTTGGTGATTTTGCTAACGCGACAGTAGAATTATGCATAAATCTTAGATTTCAACAATTTTAAAAAAAAAGATAGCAGGGTAGAGCATTAAGAACACACAAATTGATTTTCTAAACATTTTAAACGGTTAAATTCTGACAAATGATTCTGTATCGTGACGAAAAAGGTGAACAAAACGTATCAAATATCATATTGATTAGCGTTCGGTCAACGTGTTAATGAGGAACCTTTTTTAAAAAAATTGGTTTCTGTTCTTTCACATTTGAGTTTAGAGGGTTTAAGCTATTCAAACCTGTGTGAGCAAAAAATCACGTCATCGCTGCCTTCTTTAGACGGGAAAAGTACACAAACATTTACATACATTTACAGAACACATCCTCATCTGGGGCTTTTCAGTGAAGAAATTGGATTACAAATTAAAATACGCACAATATAATACGAATTATATATCTTTAAATAAAATATGGTCAGTTTAAAAATTCATTCAAAAGGTGATTTTTAGAGCTCTCTTAAAGGAAGCGAAACTCTTACATAATTTAAGACTTGGATCTAACTTGTTCCAGATAGATACACTTTTATAATAAAACGTTTTCTGTCCTGTTGCAGTTTTAAAAGGAGGAATGTTTGGTCGTTGAAAGTTTCTGGTTATACTTTCAGATACGCTGCCTCTTGTTATATACATACATGTTAAGTATTCCGGGGCTTGATCCGTCATACATTTATATGTTAAAGTAGCATCTCGGCAATACAGTTGTGTTTTTACAGGGAGCCAAAGTAAGTTTTTTAATACAAGAGAGATATGGTCATACTTCTTTACGTTGCAGATAGTTCACGCGGCAAAGTTTTGAACGTATAGCAATTTACGAATATTACAGGCTGAGGTGGATGATCATACTGATGAACAGTAATATAGTTTACTGAAAACAAGCGCATTTATTATGATTTTAAGCAGTTATTTATCGAAAACGAATCTAATACGGCTTATTTGAGATAATTTCGACATGCAAGACGATACAAATATCGAAAGATAGCGTGGGATCAGAAATTACTCAAAGGTCTCTGACTAATTGAGCCGGGTTAATGTCTTTTTCCTAATGGCGATAATTTAAAGTCCAGTAGTTTCGAAGACATTCCTCGGCTGCCAAAAACCATTAGTTTCGTCATATCTGGATTAAGCATTAAACAAATGTCGAAACACCAATTGCGAATCCGTTGTAAGTCGGAATTAAGACTTTGAGTGATCCAAGCAGAGTCGTTCTTGGTAAAAGACAACAGGAGTTTAGTCATCCACGTAGCAGTTGAACAATTTTAACAAACATTTGATAGATCGTTTACATAAATACTGAAAAGTAATGCTCTAAGGACACTTCCCTGCGGTACGCCACTGCCTACTGGTAATTTATCAGATAAAACAGAGTTTATACGGACTGCCTGGTATCTCCGAGAAAGATAGCTTTCGAACCATTGAAGTGCAGAGGGTGATAGACCAATGTTCTTCAGTTTTTCTTTTAAAGAATTACATGATTTATATTGTCAAAAGATTTGCTCATATCAAGATATACGACCGCAGTAATTTTCATCCGGTCGATAGCGTGGAGAAAAGAATCAGTAGTAGAAATTAGCGATGTTTCGGTAGAGTGCCATTTTTTGTTGCCGCTTTGTTTCACTGATATTCTCTAGTTGGATGTTAGATACGGAGTCAGCTGGTTCAATACTACTCTTTCGCATACCTTAGAGAGTATTGGCAGTAGTAAAATTGGTCTGTAATTACTGGCTTCTTCGTGATCTCCGTTCTTAAGAATTGGACAGACTTCGGCAATTTTCTAAGAAGTTGGAAAAACTCTGCTTGTTAGAGAAGCGTTAATAATGGAAGTGATACTAGGGGCAATAATCGGCCAACTCTCTTTGATTAAGCGAGGTGATACCTTATCAATTCCTGGAACTCTCTTGTTAGGTATTAGGTTAACAATACCTTTAACTTAAGAACATTCCACGGTGTTAAAAGAAGACTGGTCTGCGACTGCATAATTTTTCGGAGTACATGGATCTTGCGCGGGCACATAATTGAATTTTCTTGCAAGTTGAGTCTTTTTTAACGTAGATTTCCCAACCGAGCACAAAAACTGGTTGAATTCATTTGCATCTGTTTGATCGTCTTTCGTAAAACTCTCAATATTCGCAGGCTTTTTTGGAATTCACGAACTGATTGTTTTCCAGATATTTACAACATCGGTAGGGTTTTGTTTTACAGACGATATTTTCTCCTATAAACTGTTCTCGCGCGGCATCAAGAATAACACCAGAGCTAAGGCAAGAGGTAAATGGAGATAAAGAGTGCGATTTTCCACCGTGGCTTACATATGTCCGCCATGTTGTGAGGTGTGCAGAATTAAAAACAATTGAATTACAATGGTCTGGTCTGGACTTGAGAAATGCCAAATTTTCTTTATCGTATTTCCAATAACCAATGTGGTTTTATTTACCTACTACTAAAGAGAGTTTATTGGGCAAAGTTTGAGGCAAAGCTTTTTTCCGATGCGAAACGCCTTGGACTGCTCTTACAGAGCTCACCACTTAAATTCTCTCGACCAACCAGAACCATAAAACTGTTTGTCAACTGTCATATGATAACCTCTGATTTTAAAAATGATAAAACTGATCCGTGTGAAAGATCTTTATCAAGTCTCTACGAACAAGCCCAAAATTACAGAAACGGCGATAAGAAGGCTTATTGCAAATCCTTCTAAAGAGCACCTTTTTGCAGACAGAAGACACAGGTCTACTTTCAGTGAAAATTAAGCAATATTGATCGCCCATCTTTCGGCGTTTCTTTCAAATTTGTGTTGTCTATAATCTGTTTTGAAAAAAAAAAACAGCATCTCTTTACTGTATTGACTGTAATTTCGGTATGATCACTTGCCAAGTTTTGTTACGATAATTGGCTAGTTTATTCTCTGCACTTTCAACAACGTTGGTTTACAAACTTTGGGCCAGTTATTTAAACGCGGTCTAACCCAAACCGCGGTTTCACACAAACAATGGGCCTTAGGCACTCTCTATAAGAGGGTTGATTTGGGTAAATAGTTATTTTTTTCTTATATGAGAGCTGCAGCATAAGTATTAAATTAAACTTGTTGTCACAAAGTTTCACAATTCTTCCCCTTACGGCAAGCAATGTTATTCCTGTATTTAGGACCTAACGGTATTTATTTTATTTCATTTCACACAATTCTACCGAAAGTAAAGTGAGAAGTCTTGAATAAAGGTACATACCACTCTTTGTCTTAAATGTTCTGACATCTGGCTCACTGTCTCCTTGTTCGTTGACAGCAAACAGTTTCACTTCATACTCTGCGTCATACTCAAGACCAGTGATCTTGAGGTGAGTGTCCTCTATATTTCCTCGTTGAACCATTTCTGTGGATTCTGTCACCGGTTGTTTCCTCCATTCCAAACGGTATTTAATGTTACCATTACTGCTGTTGGCCTCAGCCTCTGACCAGGTAACAGTGAAATCCTTGTCAACTTCTATTTCTGTATTTGTGATGGTTGGTTTCTCAGGTAAACCTGTTTAAAATTAGCTTCTTTTAAACTTTGTCTCTGATAAATGTGACATACTTATTTTAACTACATAAAACACGAATACACGTCAATTTAATCATTTCAACAAGTAATATGAATGCAACCGATCTTAACATGTCAGATCCAAAAAAAAAATGTCAGATCCAAAAAAAAAAAAAAGCCGGATCCAAAAAAAATAAGCTCGAAATGTACGTTTTAAATAATTTTGTTTTCATGTAATCATACACAGATGATCTACAAAACTCGATCTCTAGTCTGTTATACATGTGGACGTTTCGCACTCAGTCGATTTATACCCAGTTTAAGTCGTTCGTACCCGAACCACTGGTTGACTCGCACCCGTTCCCAGATTAAGTGATCACCAAAACCCAGGAGATCTCCCAAAATAGGTCACCCACAATTGAGTAAACAGATGTCGGTTGTTGCATACAGAAAGTAAGAAAGGAGTCAAATGAGTATTACAGATACAAGTAAAGTTCTGTGGTGTATTCTTGTGACTCTCTCAACAACAAAAATATCAGACCCCGCATTTCTGACTCTAGGCCTTAAATTTAATGGTCGCGCTAAGCAGAATGCAGAGTCGGGTGGTTAAAGCTGCGGAGTAAAGGTCATGGCGGCACTGCAATTTTTAGGCGAGAGCTTTAAGCTTCACTTTATCTCCATGAGTGAACGCAACTGCGTAGAAATTTCTTCCCATGTTCTAGAACCACCCCACAGCTTCAAATTCCAACATCTGCCTTTATTTGATGCTTCAGTGATTATTATTTTTGGATGCAGCCTGGTACTAGACTCATCCTAGTGACCTCTTCCATTTTCAACTCTGGGAGGTAAAAGATACTTCTCGGCTAACACATTTTATCGATTCATAAGCAGTTGTACTGGGCTGGCGTGAAGGCCTTGAGTAGAAGTTGTGCGGTAGTCAAGGAGAGCCAGTAAAGCAGCAGAAGCATCCTTTGTTGCTTCTTTTTATTTAGCCCTAGGCTGCTTCAGCTGTATTTTCAACTTTTCCATTGTTATTAGGGAGTTATTAGGTATTAGGGGGAAGTTGTGACTCATTGATATTTCTATTTCTTGCTGAAATAGGGTCAATGGAACATTGACAGGCGTTGGCTGTTGCTTTTATTTTACCGTCATTTGGTGTAACAGTACCAATAAGACTCTCTTCCAGATAGATTGTTTAGAGTTATGAAGTGTAATATACTAACTTTACTTAATATAAAATTTTTGATTCCATACAATGATCATTGAATTGTTTGTTTTCAGAGGCATGCATTTCCAAATTGTTGGCCGGCAATCAATACCAAATAAATAAAATTAAACATATTGATATAATACAAAAGGTTGATAAAACATTGATGAACTCCTCTTTCTATTATCATAAATTAATAACAAGTCTTATCAATGTAATTTAATTTAGGTGAGGATAGTAAAACATTTTTGGCAAATAATTATTTTTTCTTATATGAGAGCTGCAGCATGAATATTCAACCTGTTGTCACAAAGTATCACAATTCTTCGCCTTATGAAAAGTTGTGTAACTCCTGTATTTAGGACCCAACAGTATTTATTTTTTTCATTTCAAACAATTCTACCAAAGGTAAAGTGAGAAGTCTTAAATAAATGTACATACCACTCTTTGTCTTAAATGTTCTGACATCTGGCTCACTGTCTCCTTGTTTGTTGACAGCGAACAGTTTCACTTCATACTCTGCGTCATACTCAAGACCAGTAATCCTGAGGTGAGTGTCCTCTATATTTCCTCGTTGAACCATTTCGGTGGATCCTGTCACCGGTTGTTTCCTCCATTCCAGACGGTATTTAAAGTTACCATTACTGTTGTTGGCCTCTGACCAGGTAACAGTGAAATCCTTGTCAACTTCTATTTCTGTATTTGTGATGGCTGGTTTCTCAGGTAAATCTGTTTAAAATGAGCTTCTTATAAACTTTGTCTCTGATAAATGTGAAATACTTATTTCAGCTACACAAAACACGAATACACGTCAATTTAATCATTTCAACAAGTAATATGAATGCAACCGGTCTTAACATGTCAGATCCAACAAAGAAATGTCAGATCCAAAAAAAATGATAAGCTCGAAATGTACGTTTTAAATAATTTTGGTTTCGTATAATCATATACAGATGATCTACAAAACTCGTTCTCTAGTCTGTTATACCTGTGGACATTTCACAGTCAGTCGATTTATACCCAGTTTGAGTCGTTCGTACCCGACCCACTGGTTGATTCGCACCCGTTCCCAGATTAAGTGATCACCAAAACCCAGGAGATCTCACAAAATAGGTCACCCACAATTGAGTAAACAGATGTCGGTTGTTGCATACAGAAAGTAAGAAAGGAGTCAAATGAGTATTACAGATACAAGTAAAGTTCTGTGGTGTATTCTTGTGACTCTCTCAACAACAAAAATATCAGACCCCGCATTTCTGACTCTAGGCCTTAAATTTAATGGTCGCGCTAAGCAGGATGCAGAGTCGGGTGGTTAAAGCCGCGGAGTAAAGGTCATATTGCGGCACTGCAATTTTTAGGCGAGAGCTTTAAGCTTTACTTTATCTCCATGAGTGAAGCCAGTAAAGCAGCAGAAGCATCCTTTGTTGCTTCTTTTTATTTAGCCCTAGGCTGCTTCAGCTGTATTTTCAACTTTTCCATTGTTATTAGGGAGTTATTAGGTATTAGGGGGAAGTTGTGACTCATTGATATTTCTATTTCTTGCTGAAATAGGGTCAATGGAACATTGACAGGCGTTGGTTGTTGCTTTTATTTTACCGTCATTTGGTGTAACAGTACCAATAAGACTCTCTTCCAGATAGATTGTTTAGAGTTATGAAGTGTAATATACTAACTTTACTTAATATAAAATTTTTGATTCCATACAATGATCATTGAATTGTTTGTTTTCAGAGGCATGCATTACCAAATGACTGGCAATCAATACCAATTCAATAAAATTAAACATATTGGTATAATACGAAAGGTTAATAAAACATTGATGAACTCCTCTTTCTGGTATTAAAATTTAATAACAAGTCTTATCAATGTAATTTAATTTAGGTGAGGATAGTAAAAAATTTTTGGCAAATAATTATTTTTTCTTATATGAGAGCTGCAGCATGAATATTCAACCTGTTGTCACAAAGTATCACAATTCTTCGCCTTATGAAAAGTTGTGTAACTCCTGTATTTAGGACCCAAAAGTATTTATTTTTTTCATTTTAAACAATTCTACCAAAAGTAAAGAGAGAAGTCTTAAATAAATGTACATACCACTCTTTGTCTTAAATGTTCTGACATCTGGCTCACTGTCTCCTTGTTTGTTGACAGCGAACAGTTTCACTTCGTACTCTGTGTCATACTCAAGACCAGTTATCTTAAGGTGTGTTCTCTCTATAGCTTCTAGTTGAGCCGTTTCTGTGGATCCTGTCACCGGTCGTTTCCTCCATTCCAGACGGTATTTAATGCTGCGATTACTGCTGTTGGCCTCAGCCTCTGACCACATAACAGTGAAATCCTTGTCAACTTCCGTTTCTGTATTTGTGATGGTCGGTTTCTCAGGTAAACCTGTTCAAAATGATGCTTCCTTTAAACTTTATCTCTGATAAATGTGAAATGTTTATTGTAACTAACCAAAACACGAGTACATGTAAATTTAATCATTTACACAAGTAATATGAACGAAACGGGTACTTTTGATTTCATATACATTTCCATATTCTTGAACCCCCTCATAGCTTCAAATTCCAACATCTGCCCTCAATTGACCCTTCAGTAATTATCATTGTTGGATGCAGCCTGGCAATAGACTCATCTTAGTGACATCTTCCATTATCCACTCTAGGACGTAAAAGGTACTTCTCGGCCAACACATTTAATCGACTCAAGAGCCACTGTACTGGGCTTCTGTGAAGACCTTGCGTAGGAGTTGTGCAGTAATCAAGCGGGGCCAGTAAAGCATCAGAAGCATCCTTGTAATATGCTAACAGTTAAAATTTTCAATGCCATGTAATGATCATTGAATTGTTTGTTCTCAGAGGCATGCATTTCCAAATTGTTGGCTGGCAATCAATACCAAATAAATAAAACTAAACATTGATACAATAGGAAAGGTTGATAAAACACTGATGATCTACTCCTTCTAGCATCAAAAATTAATAACAAGTCTTATCAATGCAATTTACGTCCAAATCAAACGTGAACATAGTAAAAAGAGCAAGGCAAACAATTATTGTTTCTTATATGATGACTGCAGCATGAGTATTGAAACCGTTGTCACAATGTTCCATAATTCTTTGCCTTATGAAAAGCTGTGCTACTCCTGTATTTAGGACCCAAAAGTATCTATTTTATTTCATTTCAAATAATTCTACCAAAAGTAAAGTGATAAGTCTTAAATGAAGGTACATACCACTCTTTGTCTTAAATGTTCTGACATCTGGCTCACTGTCTCCTTGTTTGTTGACAGCGAACAGTTTCACTTCATACTCTGTGTCATACTCAAGACCAGTTATCGTGTGGCGAGTTTCAACAATATCTCCTTGTTGAAAGACTTTTGTGGATCCTGTCATGAATTGTTTCCTCCATTCCAGACGGTATTTAATGCTGCAATTACTGCTGTTGCCCTCAGCTTCTGACCAGGTAACCATGAGATCCTTGTCAACTTCTGTTTCTATGTTTGTGATGATTGGTTTCTCAGGTAAACCTGTTCAAAATGATACTTCTTTTAAACTTTGTCTCTAAAAACTGTGAAATACTTATTCTAACTAATACTAAACATATTGGTATAATAAGAAAGGTTAATAAAACATTGATGAACAACTCTTTCTAGCATTAAAAATTAATAACAAGTCTCATCAATGTAATTTACGACCAAATCAAAGATGACGATAGTGAAAAATATTGGGCAAATAATTATTTTTTCTCATATGAGAGCTGCAGCGTAAGTATTAACCTGTTTTTACAAAGTTTCACAATTCTTCGCCTCATGAAAAGCAGTGTTACCAACAATGTTTCTTTTATTTCATTTCAAACAGTTCTACCAAAAGTAAAGTGAGAAGTCTTAAATAAAGGTACATACCACTCTTTGTCTTAAATCTTCTGACATCTGGCTCACTGTCTCCTTGTTCGTTGACAGCAAACAGTTTCACTTCGTACTCTGCGTCATACTCAAGACCAGTGATCTTGAGGTGAGTGTCCTCTATATTTCCTCGTAGAACCATTTCTGTGGATTCTGTCATCGGTTGTTTCCTCCATTCCAGACGGTATTTAATGTTACCATTACTGTTGTTGACCTCAGCTTCTGACCAGGTAACCATGAGATCCTTGTTAACTTCTACTTCTGTGTTTGTGATGGTTGGTTTCTCAGGTAAACCTGTTCAAAGTGATGCTTCATTCAAACATTGCATCTGATAAATGTGAAATACTCATTGTAACTAACTAAAACACGAATACATGTCAATTTAATCATTTCAAGAAGTAATACCAATGCAACGGGTCTTAACATGTCAGATCAAAAACATGATAAGCTCGAAATATACCTTTTAGATAATTTTGGTCTCTTATATACATATATAAATGATCTACAAACTCGCTGTTTAGTCTGTCGTACCCGTGGACGTTTCGCACTCAGTCGATTTACACCCAGTTTGACTCGTTCGTACCCGACCTGGTGGTTGATTCGCACCCGTCCCAAAATTATCTCTGGGAGGTAAAAGATACTTCTCGGTCAGTACTTTTCATTTACTCATGAGCCACTGTACTGGGCTGGTGTGAAGGCCTTGAGTAGGAGCTGTGCGTTAGTCAAGGAGAACCAGTAAAGCAGCAGAAGCATCCCTTGTTGCTTCTTTTTATCAAGCTCTAGGCTGCTTCAGCTGTATTTTCAATTTTCCCTCTGTTATTAGTGGGTTATTAGGTATTAGGGGAAGATTGGGACTGATTGAAATTTCTATTACTTACTAAAAAGGGGTCAATGAAACATTGACAAGCGCCAGTTGTTGCTTTTTTAACCGCAATTTGCTCTTTCGGTGATGAATTTGATCATGTGAACAAAACAGTACCGATAACACTCTCTCCTAAATAGGTTGTTTAGAATTATGAAGTGTATTATAGTAACAAACATCACTCCTCCACCTCCCCTCGATAAATATTTGTGGGTTGTCTTCTATATGCTCATGCTAAATCTCTTTCTTTCGTTTAGTCATTACAATAATTATATCACTGACTAACATTTCTGCACCAGTGTTTTGGCTATGGTAATTTGCTAGCAGTTAAACTTTAAAATATTTACTTACCTAGCAGAAGCATGTCAAACTCAGCGCTTTCAGGGTATTTAACCAACACTTGTAGATAGTCTCTCCTGTTACGGCACAAGTGTAGGACTTCTAATATACTAACCACCATAAAAAAGGCATCGACAGAGATGAAAGCTTTATTTAGGTTTGATTTCTCCTGGTGATGAAGATCATTACATTGCAATGTTCTATTTGTCTGCTTGAGTGGACTCAGCGTGGTTTGACTGTTGGTCGGCAAGATCTTATTAACATCACACTTAAAACTGGAAGGTAAAGAAATTGTCTGGTAACTGCAAACCAGCCCCAGCATAACACCCAGGAACAATATTCGAAAGATTACATGGATGAAGTAGACGCAAAGAAATGTCTTTGTGTTTTTGTTATTTCTGTGTCCTGCTCTTTTTTGAAGGGTCACAGCGCCAAAAATTGCAAAGCTGATCCAGCATGCGCACAAAATACCGAGTGTCATGGCAACAACATTCCGAGGTATTAACCCATGAGGCTTGGTAACTGTGGAAATGTAGCTGTTATAGCAACGTTGTCTGATAAAATCACTGGGTTTAGGATCGCAGTTGAAGTTAAGTCTATCACTGTCATGATACTTTTGTAAAAGGCCAAGAATGTAACCCAGCGATCCAACAGACAAAATACACTGAACTCCTCCAAAAGCAGTTTGAAACTTGATAACCTTTGTAAAGCTATCAAACATCATTCCATAAAGTATCAGTACCTAACAAGAAGCATAAGAAAAATAGTTATTAATATTAATGCATCAAGTGACTTGATGACTTGCATAAGTTAAACCTGACTCAGGAAGATACTTTTAAGGCTTATCTGAAATTTCTGCGAATACCTTCGTATCCAAAGACGATTATCAGCGTTCTGGTGAGAATTGTCATTCAAAATAGGTGTCATTAACTTAAGTTTGAACATTTGCTTCAATTTTGTGCTGACATCCCTGGAAGCTAAATGGTGCAACAGCCTTGTTTGCTGGCCAAACAAGTAAATATTTCCCCATAGCATTTCACTTCTTTCCTTTCTTGCTTGATACGGAATGGAAGGGGAATTTCGTAATGATTATCATTCGTATGGCGAGTACCTTCACTAATTATCTTTACGAACTTCTTATCGTCTTGAGAGTGTGCTTGTGTGATGAAAAGGCCAATCTTGGCGCCAGGTATCTGTGGTGGTAAATCGTCAGCAGTGCTCTTGAGATGTTTCCATTTGTGGACGACTTTGTGGGAAAACAGATCTTCTCGCTGGGAGAGGTCTTCACTTGTAAATACCTTTGGCAGTTGAACGCAATTTTTGCCTCTCAGATCTGAGAAAACTGATCCATTTTGGATCTTTGTGTCTTGCAATTGCCTTCCATTCATGGTCTTCCCCGTTAATCGTGTATCAGCTCCCTTTATACCCAGGCTATCTGCAATGTCCTCAAGAACAAATGATCCAGTGCTGCACATGTCTAGCATGGCGTATTTAGGTTCTTCACTCTCTCTAGATCCTGATCTTAATCTGACAGGGGCGATGGGAACAACGGAAGCAGGCTCCTGCGCGTGAGCAGCGTTACAGCTAGCTTACTTGAATTCTGAGAGCGTAGGAGTGCTTCGAATGAGCTTGGAGTTGTCGTCATGAAACCTTGTGGGTTGGTGACGCGAGCACGTTTTAGACGTTCTTCTTTAGACCTATCCATTGGATTGGTGGCCAGTGTCGTAACACGTGAAACACAGCCCTTTCTCTCTAAGAAACACTCGTTTGGCAATCGTCTAAGTCATGGTTTTTGCTACAGAGTTTCCAAAGACTGGTATATTTATCTGAGCTTATCCTTTGGTCTGCGGGTACTTGCGTTGCGTGGCTAGATTCCTTTCCCTTTGACAAAACGATAAGGTTGGTCCATGGAGCTATCCACGCGACATAGGGTTCCTTGCGAGAAGACCGGATCGTTTGCAACGCTTGCCTTGGCGTTCACAAATTTTACGAAGTTTCCAAGGGCAGGAATCTCTCTCTCAGACATTCTTGTTCTACTGGCTTCATGGCACCACCTGTCCTGGAGCTGGGAAGGAAGCAAGGCCACCATGCTCTGCAAATTTAGTGGATGATTGAGGATTGATAGGAAGGTTAGCTTTGTAATAACACCTCGGCGCTGGGTAAGAAATACAGAAAATTTGTTTAGAGCCTGTTCATCACCGGTCCAAATGGTGGGCCATTCATTGATTTTCTTCAGGTAGACATTCGATATTCTGTACGGGTCTCCATACTTTTCTCTAAGGAGCATCTTCATTCTTTTGGGTCCTCCTCCCAGGTACTGCTCTAGGCACTGTAAGCACACAGCGTTTGAACCGACTTTAGCTTCTATTTATTATTCGTAGCACTGCATGAAGGTCGAAAATTCAAGGGGATCGCCCGTAAAATTAGTTAATGTCTGCGAGGGAAGCAGACTCTGTTGCTGTCGTTCCACCAGTAGCTCCATAAGTCTATTTTGTGCATCATAAAACTACATTGGCGTCGTATTTGGCTGCACATCAGATGTGGGAATCTCAGGTGCCAAGGGGTTTAAGCTGGGATGTTGCTGCATTGGCTTAGGAGGTACTCTAGGTTAGTCATAATAATCTGGATCAGGGCTTACACTGGTGGCGGTTTTCAAAGGTATTTCTGAGGCGGTGTAATAACTTGAAGATAGCGTGAAAGCAGACCCAGAAGTTGAAGATGATTGAGTACAAAAGACTTCTGAGGAAAGTTTAGGTTGATGGCTTGAATCCTCTCTTACATTCTCTTGAGCCTCTTTCGCATATTCAATCGAATGTACCGTTTTGTATGTACCAGACGATTTGGCACACCACTCAGGTGCCTAGGGATTCAACTGAAGCTGTATCAGTTACGTATTCTGCTTGACGAGTTGCGACCCGACTCGACTCAAGAGGTATCACCTCATTCGGTCTATCCACGGAGGATTTCTTTCCTACTCTGTCTTTAACGAAGGTGCGGTGAAAACCTTTTCTCTTTGAGTTTGAAAAGTTTCATTATCAATGCTGGCTTCCAAAATTCTCGCTTTGAGTGTAGCTGTTTCGATGTCGTTCTGCGCATCTAAAACAACACATCTTTCTTTACTTCAAATTTTTACTTTACTCGCTGTAACCGTAACTAAGCAACCGCCTGTTCGGTCTTCGCTCCCTTCATTTTTCCACTTAAGCGGGAACTTGGACGCTGACTTCTTTTTGTTACTGAAGTGCTGTGACGACTCACAGAATCTCGTAGTCGAATGTCATTTTCTAGTAAAGATGTCTACGCGTTAAAGCTAACCATCCATTCTTCGTCACATTGATTAAACTCGAATTTCTCATTAACACGACTTTCAAACTCCAGTGTTGCTCTGAATCTCTTCCATATTATGAAGGCTTTCCATATAGGGAATATGCGCTCCTTCGTAATTTGCAAATGCCGCATGGATAACTTCAAGCTTCTTGTTAACGAGTTCCCTATTCTGCTTGTTGAGAAGTAAAATTTCAATTTCTCTATAAAGCTTTGAGAGGAAGCCTGGTGTAACCAGGTCCGACAGTAAAAACTCTTTTAAAAAATAAAGTAACACGGCGCTAGCAAAAACTAACGAAATGACTGACTTAGTTGAAATCAGTTAGCAATGAGAATTATCTAAAGAAAACAACGCTTGTACTAGCGAGAAATAAAACGCTACCGGCGTTAAGTAATTCTAACACAACCTCACTCAAAACGCGAACTTAATTGAATAGAAACAGAACATCACAAGAGTAGTTCCGTCGATTGAAAGAAAAACAATACAAAATCATTTCACAGTTACTTGACAATAAATAAAAATGCAAATTCTAGTTGCTACAGGCACATGTATCACTAGACCAAATCGCCCAGCATCAGCTAAAGAAAAGTGATAATATTGAATACCACACAAATGGGTGATATAAACAACAGTGTGTAATTTGAAAAGACATAGAAGCTTGTGTTCTATTAACAATTTAAATTAAAGAAACAAAAACATTTTCGCTGTACAGCTGCAGGAGTAATATTATAACAATAGAACCCTTAACCCTTTACACCCTAACATTAGTGTTCATATTCTCCACACTGATCTCTCTACATTTCCTGTGGTAATGACAAGGAGAATTTGGTTGACAATCAGGTCAGCTTCTTAAACTGGTGATTATTTCTATTATTCTCACAACCCTTACACTTGATTCAAGGGTGATACTGTAAGGAGAAATTAGAAGTCAGTCACTCTTAGGGGTTTAAGGGTTAATAAACTGGTGAAAATCTTCCACCTGGCTTTTAAATGCATATTGATTATATGGTCGCAATTTTTAGGTGTCAGAGGATTGAAGTTCAGTGTTAATATTATGGATATATTAATAAGAAGATGTTGGTTATTGAAGTAAATGTTGAGTTCAGTATGATGAATGGCTTCGTGTACAAATACTTGCACATACAGCAAACAATTATAATGTAGGTAAATTATACTGCTCTCATAAAAATATATATTTCTTTTATCAGATAAGTTTGAATGCCGTTTAGTCGTACAAATATCACCTGCAATAACTGCAGCCTGCATGAAGAATAAGCTGTGAAACTGACTTTCTTGGCCCCCACCCCTCCCTCCATAGTCAATTTCCAGTCCAAATTCCACATTCCCAATTAAAAATCCGACTGATTGCAAGCTAAAATATATCACGACAGACGCTTGTATCCTAATACTTATTGCATCTTTAAATCGTGCAAGAAAATCATGTTCATTTTTAACAATGCAGCAAAGAAGACAACTTGGTTCCTAACTTGGTTTCCCAAGTCTTTCGATTTCAGACCATTTCACTTTCGATTTCCGCTTTAATCAATTCTTAAAAACAAATTGGACTTTGAATTAACTGAGAAGTAACATCTTCAGTGACTCTAACATATTTGCGATATACGTCAGACAAAAAAAAAAACTTTCGAAATTCAGATTTTATCCAAAGTAAAATTTAGCTTACACATACGCTTGCTGAGTTTAAAGAACTGTGAAGCTGTGACAAGGATTATTGATGGTGTGCGTTTCTCTATGTGCGATTCGTAAATGTCCCCATATAAGTATTTTACGATGGTTTGGTAAAAGCGTCCTTCTTACCTTTAGCTTTGAGCTTTCTCCTGATATCGACACAATATGTCACTCAACGCTTAAAATCGATTCCACCAACAGCTGTTGAAAAAAAGTGATATGAATTCAATGCAATCAAATAAAACCGTTATAGGTTTCGATTTTCGATCAAATATCTTAATTTGAAGGTTGTTCTTCAGATCGTCTGTCTCGTACCCGTGCCTCTGGACCCAAAACTCATTTTCTACAAGTAAAAAAGTGATTGGCTGTCTACGAATTTTAAAGGCGCTGCATTTAGTTCGCTTCCGTTGATCCAGTATTGGTTTTAAATGATGCAATGCTTCGAGAATTAGAGCGTCGTCTGTTAGATCACGCAATCACAGATAATCAAACGTCAATCACTGTATACCAAAGAATCAAAAGCACCCGCTGAGTTCAACAGAACAACGAAATGGCTGTTTTATAATGCAAATGTTACGACAAAGTTCCAAAATACTGCAATCTCTGGGCCATTCACCGCCAAGATTTCATTAATAATATTCCTTTTTGTTTTGAGCGATTAATGTGAATCAGTGTAGAGTACGTATGGGTCTGTCGATTCTTGAAAGAGTCAAGCGTGCATAGGTCAGCCCCAAGGACAGAGAGATAGAACGAAAGAATTGAAAGTAATAACTTTAATGCTTGTTGAGTGACTCAATTTGTTCTTTAATATGATATGCTAATTTTACGCGATCAACTACATGTATGCGTGAATGTTCCCGTATTTATAAACTCAGTGGATTCAAATTACCTTCTCAATGACGTTATCTTCGTTACTCAGTGTTTACTGTTGTATCTTCGAAGAAGGACTGGAAAAAAAACAAAAAAATAACAGCTTAAGATGTACAGAGAACCTCATTATCAAACTGTAAACTGCCATCTTGTTGTTGGTTGAAGTTGAGCCGTTGGTCTGTTCGCGCGAACATAATCTCAGTGAAATATTCATCGTTCTACTTGTTCTATATTTTGATCTACACTTGAGTGCAGTGCTTGAATGTTGTAGGATATATATGCATTTAAAGATTAAAAATGAACAAAAAGCATGTTTTAAGATCCTCATTTTAAGGGTGCAAGGTCTACCACTCGCAGGTGATGGAGCTTATGACAAACATGATGCCTAATTCGTGTCATATTTCACTTACGTTTTAAGCTAAAGCCTCCTTAAGCTAGTCTTCGCTTGCAATGGTTTCAGTGTAAGTCCATAAGCACCGAAATTGCTCTGTTAAATTATGCAGCAAGCATCAAGTTAACTGAGAAGTGACATCGACATTGACTCTGGCATGTTTGCGCTATACGTCAGACAAAAAAAGACCACTTTCGAAATTCAGATTTTACCTACAATAAAAGTTAGCTTACATATGCCAATAAACTTGCTGAGTTTAAAGAACTGGGAAGCTGTCACAAGGTTGATGGTGTGCGTTTCTTTATGTGCGATTCGTAAATGTCCCTACATAAGTATTTTACAATGGTTTGTTGGTTTGTTACAAGCGTTCTTCTTACCTTAAGCTTTGAGCTCTCTCCTGATATAAACACAATCTGTCTCAACGCTTGAAATCGATTCGCCTAACAGCTGTTGGAAAAAACTGATGTGAATTCAACTCAATCAAACAAAACCGCTCGGTTTCGATTCTCGATCAAATACCTCAAGTCGAAGGTTGCTCTTCAAATCACCCGTGTCGTAACCGTGCTTCTGGCCCCAAAGCTCATTCTCTACGCGTCACAAAGTGAGTTGCTCTTTAAGAATTTTGAAGATGCTGCATTTATTTCGCGTTGCAATGATACAATGCTTCGAGAATTAGGTTGGCTGAGTCCAACAGAACACTGATAAAATGGCTGTTGTGAAATGCAAATGTTACGACAAAGTTCCAAAATACCGCAATCCCTAGGTCTTTCTTGCCAAGATCTCTTTGGTAATATTCCTTACTGTCTCATTGTTTTGAGCGATAAATGTGAATCAATGTAGAGTACGTATTGGTCTGTCGATTCTCGGAAAGAGTCAGAGGTGTATTGGTCAGCCCCAAAACAGGGAGATAGAATGGAAGAACTGAAAGTAATAACTTCAGTGCTTGTTGAGTGACTCAGTTTGTTCTTTACTATGATATACTAATTTTACGTAATCAACTACATGTATGCATGAATGTTCCCTT